GTTTGAAGACTTATATGATATTACCGTCTCACGATCACTCGAGATAAATTCCATGAAGTGATACAAGTGAGCGTGGGTTGAATCCAATACTCAGAACTTATGAGCACTCATGAATGTTGCAGTAACAATTGCTATGTCTAATACAATTCAGACAAATCTACAAACCCAATTCATGACGGTCTTATTTCAATACCTACTTCCAAAGTATGATCGACTGTGGATAGTTTGAATAACATAATTATTATGGAAGTCAAAACATGCAAAATGAAACAATAGTAAATGATTGACAGAAGACAGTACCATACTAGTAAATAAAAAACACCTTTTATTTAAACATCAAATGTCAATTACATTTCAACTATTACAAGTTTCGAAAGCTATCTAATTACTAAAACTAATATCATCCTTCAGCCCAATGCGCCTCGCATGCTGTAAATGCTTGAACCTACATAGTCCCTTCGTGAGGGGATCTGCTGGGTTCTTATCTGATGATACCCTCTTTGCCACGAGGAGTCCTTCTTCTATTCGATGTTCTAATGAAGTGGTATTTTCTGTCGATATGCCTGGATCTGCCGTGATCCCTTGGTTCCTTGGCTAAGGCAGCTGCACTCTCGTTATCACAAAAAATCTCCATAGACTCCTTTATAGCTGGTACAACTCCAAGGTCTCCAATGAAGTTCTTCAGCCATATAGCCTCCTACGCCGCCTTGCTTGCTGCTATGTACTCTGATTCGCAAGTTGAATCAGCTACCGTCTCTTGCTTGGAACTTTTCCAAGTAATTGCTCCTCCGTTTAAGGTAAAGACCCAGCCCGACTGAGAGCGGAAATTATCCCTGTCTGCCTGAAAGCTGGCATTACTATACCCCACTACTCTCAAGTCGTCACTCCCACCAAGGGTAAGGACCCAGTCCTTTGTCCTCCACAGGTACTTGAGAATGTTCTTCACCACAGTCTAGTGAGCCTTGCCAGGATTCCCCTGATATCTGCTGACCATGCTCAAAGCAAAGGCCACATCAGGGCGAGTACAAGTCATAACATACATGATCGATCCTACAACGGAAGCATATGGTACTCGACTCATCTCAACTATCTCAGCCTCTCTGGCTCTGAGTCTTACTCAGTTTGGCATTACTCTGGATCGGTAAGTCACCTTTCTTGGAATCCTGCATGCTGAATCTTTTTCAGCACCTTATCCAAGTAGGTACTTTGACTAAGTCCAATGAGTCTCTTACTCCTGTCTCTCAATATCCTTATCCCTAGGATATAGTTAGCTTCTCCAAGGTCCTTCATAGCGAAACACTTCCCAAGCCAGGACTTAACCTCCTACAAGGTTGGGATGCCATTTCCTATGAGTAGTATGTCATCCACATACAATACCAAAAAGCTAACTATACTCCCACTAGCCTTAACATATACACACGACTCATCCTCGCTCCTCGAAAATCCAAACTCTTTGACTTTCTCATCGAAACAAAGTTTCCATCTGCGAGATGCTTGTTTTAATCCATAGATGGATTTCTCAAGCTTACACACTCTATTAGGGTACTTTGCATCAACAAAACCCTCTGGCTGACTCATGTAAACATCCTCAGCCAACTTTCCATTAAGGAAAGCGGTTTTGACATCCATTTGCCATATTTCATAATCATGAAATGCAGCGATGGCTAGCATAACCCTAATAGACTTAATCTTCGCTACTGGTGAGAAGGTCTCATCATAGTCAACTCCCGGAGTTTGAGTAAAGCCCTTCGCAACCAGTCGTGCCTTATAAGTGTGTACATTCCCATCCATGTCAATCTTCTTCTTGAAGATCCATTTGCATCCGACTGTCTTACGACCCGGTGCATTGTCAACCAAGTTCGAAACTTGATTATCATACATGGACTGAATCTCGCTGTCCATAGCCTCCTTCCATTTGGTAGACTCAGGGCCTGCCATGGCTTCCTTGAAGTTGTTAGGTTCATCCAAATTTATCAGTGTACTATCACTGATAAATGCATCACCTTCTTTAGTAATATGGAAACCATAATAAAAATCAGGTGTGCTCCTAACTCTTGTGGAACGCCTCAGAGGTACAGACTCATCAATCGGCTCAATCAGAGTTTCCTCCTCAGGTTGATTGCTAGTGTTTGAGGTTCCTTCACCGCTTGACTCTTGAAGTTCTCCAAGGTCAATTTGCCTCCCACTGTTTCCTTGGCTTATGAATTCTCTCTCACAAAAGACTCCTCTCCTCGCCACGAAGACAACATTGTCACTCGGTCTGTAGAAGAGATAACCAAAATATTTCTGTGGGTAGCCGATGAAAATACACCGCTCACTTCGAGGTTAGAGTTTGTCGTGAGTCTCGCACCTCACGAAAGCCTCGCAACCCCAAATCTTGATGTGGTCTAAAGTGGGAACTTTCCCAGTCCACATCTCGTGAGGTGTTTTGGCAACCTTTTTGGTAGGGACTAGATTAAGGATATGGATGGCAGTCTCTAAGGCATACCCCTAGAATGAGATTGATAACGAAGCTCGACTCATCATGGAACGAACCATGTCTAACAAGGTTCGACTGCGCCTCTCAGCCACATCATTCAGTTGTGGTGTCCTAGGAGGTGTCAATTGTGAAACGATTCCACATTCCTTAAGATAGTCAACGAACTCGATACTAAGATACTCACCACCTCTATCGGATCGGAGCATCTTTATCTTCCTGCCCAACTGATTCTCTACTTCCTATTTAAACTCTTTGAATTTCTCAAAGGTTTCTGACTTATGCTTGATTAAGTAGATATAGCCATACCTACTGTAATCATCAGTAAAAGTCACATAGAAGCGGTTAGCATTCCTTGTGGCGGTTCTGAAGGGTCCACACACATCTGTGTGTATGAGGTCCAACAAACCTTCACCCGTAGCACAAGAACCAGTGAAGGGTGACTTCGTCATTTTTCCAAGTAAACAAGATTCACAACTATCATCTAACTTTAATTCAAATGACTCCAAGACTCCAGCCTTTTGGAGTTGGCCTATGCGCTTCTTGTTGACATGTCCAAGACGACAATGCCACAAGGATGCCTTATCCAAACTAGTGGAAGAATCAATATGCAATACATTATTTCCTAAGTTGTCTACAACCGACACAGTTTCATATACACCATCACAAGCTAATGCTTTAAAATAAAAAACACCATTATAAAAAGCATTAATACCACCACATTCATTATCAAATGAAAAAGTAAATCCTTGTTTGTACAAACCATGAAAGGAAATAATATTTCTCGCAATTTCAGACGAATAACAACATTTATTCAAATCTAATATTAACCCACTACTAAGCAATAATGAATAAACTCCAATCTTGGTGACAGGTGAAGATTTCCTATTCCCTATGATCAAGTTTATCTTCCCGTGCTCCACATCCTCACTTCTTTTTAGGCCCTGCAAATCAGAACAAATGTGAATTCCACACCCTGTATCAAGGACCCAAGAATTAGTATGCGGTGAGTTATTAGACAATATAGTGTAAATACCTGCATGGGTGGGTTTCACTTTCCCATCCTTAACATCCTGCAAGTACTTGGGGCAACTTCGCTTCCAGTGCCCTTTTTCCTGACAGTAGAAGCATTGTGCATCCTTCGGGTTAGAATAGGGAGTGGCAGAACCTCCTTTGGTTCCACTCGAAGAGGAGCCATCAAGAGACTTTCCCTTGGTACCCTTCGAAGGGGTCTTCCTCTTTTTCCTTTTACCTTGCCCGATTGCCTGAACAGGGGCGGTGGTAGGAGTGGTAACAACATTCTTACCTTTGAGACTACTTTCAGCAGTCCCCAAAAGTCCTTGAAGTTTGCTAAGTGTGACCTCCTCATTGTTCATATGATAAGTCATGCGGAACTGATCATAACAGGAGTGTAAGGAGTGTAGAATGATATCTATTGCTAACTCCTCATCAAAGTTCACATTTAACTTTAGCAAACAGTCCACGAATCTTTGCATTTTCTGCAGGTGGCCCGTGATAGACTCTCCATCCTTCATTTTTGTTGTTATCATGGAGGTGATGATTTCATACCTTTCCTGACGAGCACTCTGATGGTATCTTTCCATCAGGTCCTGGTGCATCTCATAAGGATAGAAAACTTCATAGGATTTTTGGAGTTCTGCTGTCATGGTAGCCAACATGATACAAGATACCTTAGTGGCATCCTTCTCACGGCTAGTGTACTCAACAATCTCCTCGGTAGTAGCAGACGACTCATCGATGACCTTAAGCTCCTTGTCATGATCGACATACAAAAGATTTATCGATTTTATTGCAAGGAATATTCTTATTGAAGCTAAGAAAATCCATTACATGATGTCGTGGATGTCCTAGTCTAAAATGCCAAATGGGCGAGCTAGAAGAAACAGTAAAAGATAAAGATGGAGCATGATCTTGGTTGGTGAAGGGGTAGAGATCACAAAACTATTATACCTCGCTAGGAGCGTCCCAGTCTTGAGTTCCTTAACAGAAAAACCAAATGGGTCAAATTCAACTAAAACAGAATTGTCACGACAAAATTTATGTACGAACACAAGGTTTTTTTGACAAGATTAGGCGCGTGTAGGATATTTTTAGTTGAATAGGTTTGGAGGGGTAGGGTAATATGGTGTTTCCTGATCCAAGAACTGGTACCTGATTACCATTACCAACAAACACAAATTTAATGAATGACATACGAGGAGTTCAGATTTTACCTGCATCTGACGTGAGATGGGTGGTAGCACCCGAGTCCATGTACCACTGGTCATCATTTGGGATTGAGAGTCACAGTGGAAAAGGCAACCTCAACTTCATATGGTTTCAGAGGATTGAATTTTGCAATATTAGCTTGTGGTTGTAGATAGGATCCCTGAGATTGAGACAGACCAGTAGAAGATGTGGCCCAAGGAGCATCCGAACTGCTTTGGGTTGGATACAGGCAAGGAGGCGGTGATGACCACCATGGAGCGGCCCAAAACAATGGTGAGTAGGTAGACCAAGGAGGTCATTGTTGGCCAGAGGTTTGGCCTCGACGGTTGTTTGGGTGCAAGTTGGTCGATTGTCCAGGTTTCTGGTTGGTTGACCTATTTTGCGAGCCGGATGGAGAGAGCCGTCGATTATAGGGGCGTTGATGGGATTGGCGACTACGATTTGCAGCAGGTGGGTCGCGATGCTGTTCACGATTAGGAGTTGGTTCATGGTCGACGGTAGCTGCAACTTCTGTTAATGAGTGGCTGTCCCGCGCCCGTTGTCGTTGGTACTCAAGCTGAAGCATGGAACAAGTCGTATCCCATGAAGGTAAAGTTTGGTGAATGTAAGCAACAACAAGATTGAACTCAGAAGGCAAGCCACAAACAAGTTGTAAGACTAGTCGATTTTCTGTCACAGGGCATTCCACATCTTGAAGCTGGCTGGCAAGATCCTTGAGACATTGGCAGTAGGCTTCAAGAGAAGTGGTGGCACGAAGAGTCAAGTTGTTGAATCCATGTTCTAGGGAAGTAGTGCGAGAACCTTTGTTATTAAGAAATATTTTCTTCACTTTGTTCCATGCTTGACAGGTGGTGGATTATGGGTCGAGAACTCGAGAAAGAAGATCATCAGAGAGAGTTCCATAAATCCATTGAAGGACGATAGTATTTATTTCTGACTAGGCTTCATCGTCCTGAAAAAATAGGCTTTGGAGGTGTTGTACCATCGATGTGGGCGAGGACTTTGTATCCTCTGGAATGGAGTTTGAACAATCACACCCATGATGAATATGTAACCTTGGTGCCATCTAGGATTCACACCTTGTTCTGGATGTTTGTAACCGTGTACACGAGGTAGATGGATTTATCAAGGTTGGGTTATGACTTGTCAAGCATGACGATCGAGAGAACTAGTATCGATCAAAAAGAAGATCTTTATAGTTGTGGCTATATTTACATTACCAAAAAATATATTCTCTTAGTCATTCTTACAAAAGAACATTGTCCACCACATCGACACAATAGATGTCCATCCACATATGAACGTATCTCTCTTTCTCTTTCACACACACACACACACACACACTCTCTCTCTCTCTCTCTCTATATATATATATATATATATATATATATACACACACACACACACATGATGTTTCTAATATTTATTTTTAGAAAAAATAGAGAGGTGCAATGACAACTCACTATGAAAGGGCAAATGGTGTGGCTTAACGGTGGAGGTGACAACGTTCACTGCACACAACCACAAACCAAATCAGCTTACCACATAATGCGGTGCACCGACACCACCGCTCTTAGAGTCTACGAGAACTTCCCATCTCATCTCAGCCTCATCTCATCTCAAAGGCCCCTCTGATGGTTCCTCAAACCCACCACCAAATCTCAGTTATTACATTATTTATTGTATCATTTTGCTACAGCTTAATAAATTTCTCGCACCATCTTGGTGTAAAAACACAATACTATATTTGGTGTTGTACTATTTTTTACACCAAGATACTATCGAACTTTTATTTGATAAGTTTGGTCATTTAAATTTTAGGTTTTATACATTTTTTTTTTTAAATTTTCTATTGTATAGTTTTATTTTAAATGTGATAACTATTAGTTGTAAATTATGTTATGTATAATATTTCTAAAAAATCTAATTAATGTATAATCTTGTAAAAAGAAACTAATAAATTTATTGGGTTAAAATAACCAAATAAAAGTAATAAAATTGGTCAATAAGATAATGAATAAAAAGGATGTTTTTTAACAATAGTTATAAGTGAAAAAGTATTTTTTGATGTATAAAATTATATAACTACATAAAGATAAAGCATTAATTTTGTTATTTTTAATATTATTTTGATGTAGAAAATTACGTTTTAGTTGTAAATAGTATAGTATAAGCATTCTTGAGAGATGCTTCAAGAATGCTCGTACTGTTGGATTAATGTCTAAGTCTATAAATATATTTGGTATGTACTTGATCCGACCCGGCATGGTCCATTTGGGTTGCACTTCACCGGCACAATTTATATGGATAGTCTTTTGAGAATAGTATATTTATGATTTATATTAATATATTATAAGTTCTAATATATTAATATGGAATCATATTATTTAATTAGTATTGATCAAGAATTAATTTAGAATTAATTAAGTGATCAAAAAGAACTAATAAAATATGGACTCTTATATATATGGAATGGGCCAAGTTCATTTAGGTTGGGCTAAGCTTTCATGGATGGTCCATGGAGCTTTTAACCCATGGATCCTATGTAAATGAAAGGTCATGGGTATTAGGGTTTACATGGATGTAACCCTAATCCTCCATAATATATAAAGGGGTCCTTGGCTCACAAAATTGGCACAAGTGTGTGAAAATAAGAGTGGGCCGATTTTAGTGTGCATACATATTCTCTCAAGTTCTTCCAAGGTGTTTTGGTGATTTGTGATTCCATTTGAGGCTTCCACACTATTGGGGCTAAGCTCTTAAAGCTTGAAGACATCAAGCTACATCAAAAGGTATGTCATCTAACTAGAACTTTGTAGTATAGGTGCTTCATAATATGCTAGTTAGGATGAAACCTTGGAATAATTAATATTTACATGTATAATAGAGAAAACATAAATCCAAGGTTTATAGGGTTGCATGTACACCATAGGAGTGTTAGAATGCTCAAAACCCAACACGTACTACCATCGATCTCTTACACTTATTAAGAGTGTGATTGGACATAAAAATTAACATATTTATTTTGACTGTATAAGTTCATTTCCATAAATACCATTAGACTATAAGGCATGGTTTGACCACTTCAAACCACCGTGACCTCCACATCATCACCACATACCATCATTTAACTAGAGGAATGGTGTGTCAAGCACCCTCAAACAACATATAAAGAACATGAGAGAAGGGAGAAAGGGGACAGGCTCAACCAATCTACCCTATCTAGCTCAGCATGAGCTAGTGCTGTCGTGGTGTGCTAGTGTGGTGCGCTCGAGCCACCCCGTACTCCACATCAGCCACTGAATCCCTTCATGAATACATACGATATAGCCTTAGGATGGTAGGACTTCCCATCCTAATATCATGTTAGTTTTTTTTCTATGATCTTATTTATATTCTTTTCATATACTTAAACATAAGAAAAAATCATTTCATATTTCTGTCTTTCACATCCCATACAATTTTTTACATATCTAAATCACATAAATACTTAAAACTAATTAAAAATAAATATATTTAAAATCTTAATACATTAATTAAAACCTTAACACGATAACTAAAATAAAAACAAAAGTGATAAAACTCCCAATCCAAACATGCTACAATTTTTTGCTTCCGAGCGACAATCGTATTCAACATCGATCAAACCAAAATCCAAATGGTCATGCAGTTGAAAAAAAAAGTATATATTTATCGATTCGTTTTTTCTTCATCATTTGCAACTCCTCTTCAAAGATTTGTAGCTTCTTTTGCATTCTAGTTCCATGATACGCAAGTTGTACACTCGCTATCTTTTTCTGTCCTCCACTTCTTCTTTGTTTGTATTCCCAAGTTCAACTATTTTCATAAACGAATGTCTTCATTTGATCATGTTGTGATTCCGGGGATGAAGATACCGTTTTCTTCTCTTTTTGTTTCATTGTGCCTTCGAAGTTCTTGAATATGAAAGTCCTCACCCTCTATATTAAATTTAGATGTAAATTGGGCTTCCAGAAAGGTAGTGTACATGTTCGACTAAGATGTTGTCGTCGATTTGGATGGTTAACCGTATCATCCATTAAGCACAATGGACCCTATTACATGTGTCCTTTAATAATGCCTTTGTGGCTTCACGAGGGAAAACTTTCATTTTGTAGAGCTTTCTATACTCATTTTGTGTCTATCGCAAAACACCTACTTTTGATTTTCTGCTTCCATAATTGACCAACTTGTTGTAGATGCAGTTGAACTTGTTAATCTTTGCCTGCAAATCCTTCCACTTGGAGCTTACTTGATGAACATTACCATCCTGATGCGATAGTTGCAATGAGAAGTTGTTAAGTACACAACACTTTGCTCATTTCCTGTTATGAGCCTTGTCCAACATTAATTCATTTCTTTAGACCATTTTTTAATTCAATTGTGTAATAGAACACGATGAGGGTCGGGGCACATTTTAGGGTTCTTCGTTAGCTTGAAGGATGGATTAGGCTTCATTGTTTTCATTTAGAGTTCGACGGTATAGGAATTGTTGGTTGGTATGAATTAAAACTTGGTTGATGCTGAGATATTTGAAAATCATTATATATATATATATATATATATATATATATATATATATATATATATATATATATTGTAATGTCCCAAAATAATAACATAAAATTTTAGTTTATAAATTAATAAATCGTAATACACATCATTTCCATAAAACCATGGTTGTCAAGATTTAGCAAAACATCATCGAATCAGAGTAAATCACAAAATGCGGAAACATGTTGTGTGCCCTGCAACCATCCTGAGCTCTTCCACTGAAAACCGAAGTTCTTGAAGCATAAACTGAAAACTGTAAGCACGAAGCTTAGTGAATTCCCCAAGATACCACATACCACACAAACATAAATCACATACTGGGCCCTTGCCTTCCATCGGGCCTCGCCCGGTCTCGAGTCCCACTCGGCCTCGGGCCCCGCCTGACATCGAGCCCTGCTCGGAATCAAGCCCCTCTCGAATTACAGATCTATTATTCTCAGGCCTCGCCTGTCACTGGGCCTCGCCCACTAAACACATAAAAAAAATCACATAATTATGCTATCACATAAGATGATCATAAAGACTAGCATATGTTCCAGTCATCGGGCCTCGCTCGTCATCAGGCCTCGCCCGATAGACACATTACCATCTAACCGTATAATCATATAGACATATAACCATAATGACTTGTAACACCCCAAGTTCAGAAGCAAGAGTTCAGGGATGTAAAGTGTTATTAGAAGGATGGACTCGGCGAGTTGGAGCTATGACTCGTCGAGTCGGAGCGTGTGAAGTGCACATGATAAGTGGCCTAACTCGCCGAGTCGGCGGCTGGACTCGACGAGTCAATGCTGGAAGAGGAAAAACCCTAATCTTAGGGTTTGCACCCTATTTAAAGGACTTAATGTCCTCCCCTCAGCCCCCTTACTACCCTTTGAGATCCAGAAACCCTAAAAGCGTGAGTGAGAGTCCTTGGAAGCAATTTGGAGCTTAGATAAGTGATTTTGTGAAGAGATCTTGAAGATCAAGGAGCTTGGATCAAGGAGATTTGTGGAGATTCGGCTTATTCTTCAGTGGGAGGTCGTTTTGGGGGTAATGAATCGTTATCCTTGGCCTTCTCCTTTCTAGATCCGTCTTTCATGGAGTTTTAGGGTTTGTTTGGAGATAATATGATGAGATCTTGGTGCATGCATTAGATCTGGAGCTGAAACTCCAGATCTGAGTTCTATTTGGATCAAATATGCAGAAAGCCCTTCTAATTGCTATGCAAAAGCCATTCCCCATGAGTTAAGTTCCTTTCTAGCTTGGTTTTTGGAATTATGGGACATGAAGCACGTAAAGGTAGCAACTTTATGTTGCTAAGGCACTCTAGGGACCCAGATCTATTGTTTGGAGCAAAGGAGTAGATATGTATCTTTCGATTATGGGAATACCCGTATCAACTCGGCGAGTCTGGGAGATGACTCGGCGAGTTGGGCTAGGGCTTCAGGCATTGAGTCGCGTAGTGACTCAGCGAGTCGCATGGGTGAACTCGGCGAGTCATATGATGATGAGCTTGGACTCGACGAGTGGAAGAACAACTCGGAAAGTCTGATGAAGATTGTCGTGGACCCGACGAGTCTGTTCTTGGACTCGGCGAGTCAGAGTGCAAAACCCCCAACCTCTTCTGGTTAGATTCAGATCAGTGAGTTGAGTGGTGACTCAGTGAGTTGGACATGATAGGACTCGGAGATTGTTGGACTCGACGAGTCATGAGGTGACTCGGCGAGTTGAGTCGTGTTATGAGAGTATCCTGAGTTTAGGAACTCGGCGAGTCAATGGGTTGACTCGGCGAGTAGGGTCAATCAGGAAGGTGGAATTTGACCAGTTTGACCTTCAGGGGTATTATGGTAATTTTTGGATATTTATGTCATTGGATCATTGATGATTATAGGTGTTGGAGTTGGAGGTAGTGCTTCGGGTTTGTGCTTTCGTGATTCGGTTCGGCAGTTGCAAGGTGAGTTATCCTCACTATATCAACAGGGTCTACGGCACCAAGGCTGGCCCTTTATCGGATGGGAATCCGGGTATTTGTTTGATATGTTATTGAA